GGGCCATTCTCCTCGGAGCTGCAGCCACTGGGCAGGTGACCAAGGACTGAAGCATCTCCGTTGGAGAGGAACTTTGGCGACAGCGGTTCAATCGATGGTGAAGAGTTCAGAAGGAGGGACGAGTCCCCCTCACCTCTGTGCTCTGAGAGAGTCAGGATTGCAGTAGCCAATGTGTGTTCCTGCTCTGAATCCTCTGCAGGTGATGGAGCACCTGTGCAGGTAGGCGAGTCAAGATGAGTAGGGCAGAGGCTGAGGCAGCTGTCACAGTCGGGAACCTCCAGATCCAGCAAAGGCACAGATCCCACCTGAACCGCTGGCGATTCGCTAGCGCAGTCAGTAGGGATGGCGTCGTGTGAGAGGCTGCTCTCAGGTAAACTTTCAGGGGTAATGTTACTGACTGTGGGCAGATCAGTCACATGTTCCAGGAATAAACCTTTGTCCCCGGTTTCAGGTGACACAGTCTCCCCGCCCTGTAAAGCAGGAGGGAGGCCTCTGTCCTCATCCAGTGACAGGAGTAAAAGCTCCTTACTGACACCCTGTGGGTTCACCTCACCTGAAGGGGCAGGGCTGGGTGAGAAGGGGAAGTATTCAGATGAGAGGTGATCTGCCAACAAAGAGGAAGGAGTCCTATCTGAAACCTTTACAGGGGAAGGAGGTTCACTGAGGGTTATCAGCTCCTTGTGACAGGTAACTGGGTCTGTGACACTCACAGGTGGATATTGCAGGGAATTTAGTTCCTCGCAGGCTGAGTTATCCCTGAGCAAATCAGTGGTTTTGGAGAATAACAGCCCAGGTAGAGGACTGTCACTTACATTGTTATGTTCCTCAATTTTGTATTTGAGAGGCGATAACTCTGCAGGTTTGTCCAGGGGAACATCTTGGGAATTATTAGATTGATCTCCCTCCCATGGCAAAATCTTGTCTCCACCAGAGTAACTGGAGGTCCTGAAAAGACTGTCTAAATTTAAGGCGTTCTCCTGGAAAAGCTCTTCCAGGCATAGAGATACATCCTGGTCAACTTTCTGGAAATCCAAAACTGTCTGACCACCTTTTCTCTGAGGCATTATGGCTCCTTTGTCTGAATCCATGAGGATGAATCCATGGGAGCTTGTGCCTTCTGGATCCCACTCGGAATGCCCCTGAGGGCTAGACATCAGAGTCTGTTCCATTTAAGTAGATAATTCCTGAGCAAATGTGAGAAAGCTTATAATTCCTCTTATTTGAAAGTCAAAATCAAATTCTTCCTCAATTTCAATATTGTTATTCTACACATGGTAGTCGACATCCTTGATGAGATCCATAGGCAAATTTTGCATGATGGTAAATAAAAAATAACTGCCTGTCTAGCTCTGAATTTATGACAACTCAGCACTGTGTAAACACCTTAGTGCTTACAACCAGTGCACTCCCTATATTCGTTGATATGTCTACTTGCCATAATGATCCACTACTCATGCATTCACAGTGACTAACCATGCATTTTTTAAAAATGTTGTCAACAACTACTCCAATGTGCATTTTCAGAAAAACGTATAATTCATTCCATAGAATTATGAATTTTGATTTATACTTTGGAATGCAACAGATACATTGTTGACATGTGGCTTAGCAAAATAGCACAGACTAAATAGAAATGTTCTAAGAACCTAAATATTACTGAGGCAACAGGCAAATGTCCATATCGATTCTATTAAATGACTCTATTATAATAGCTAGTATTCTAATTCCTAATTCTATGCTAATGTCATACAAGGACTATATTATCACAAAAAAAGATGAAGTGACATCACACACAAAAATATGAGTTCCTGTGATAGAAGGGGACTTGATCAGTTTAGCTTGATAGAAAATTGTCAAATTTGACCAAGGAAAACGGAAGCAAATGACGTGTTACCTAAACATAAATTCACTGTCATCATCTCCAGCATCATTGGGACAGACTAATTCTAGCTGTCAGTTGCCCCGGTTGTGGTCAAGCATCGTCTTGCTAATACAGCTGACTGCCAAACACTACAGTCTGAAAATAAACAGAACATGGGATTAATGCTCTAAATTGGAAGCAATAATAGCTAAATATCACCAACGTTGAACTACTTTTAACATGTGCTAATAGGTGGCACTGCCACTGGGTTATCCACAATTTGGTTGTAAAGTGTGACCATTTTAACTAACTGGTTAACCAGCTAGCTAGCTTTTTTTGCCAATGCGAGATGTGTTTAACTTGACAGTGGATTATATTACGCCAACCTTCGAGTAAATAAATAGCTAGCTTGCTAACTAGCTAGTTAGCTAGCAACGCTGAACTCCATGTAAAGAATGTCCATGCTTGCTGACTGACAATAACATGTTTGGCAATATTAACATTGATTGAACGCTAATACTTCCGAGCATCCCTATAATATATTTGTAGGAAGCTCGAGCTAGTTAGCTTGTTAACTAGCTAGCTAACAAGCCAATTCGTCAATCTCTGATTATGAAGCAAAATTAGACTGAATATGAAGATCTTTAGCTAATTTCCTTTTCCCAGTTAAATCAGTTTATTCGTTTTGACGATAATTCTCATTTACATCCGCGTTTTGTGTTTTTCTCCAGACGTTTCCAAGATAGCTAGCCAGCTATATTCCAAGAATCATCCACCTGTGTCAGGAACAAATACAGTCTGCTTGCTTAAAATGTCTTCAGCTTTTCCCGGCCTCCCGAAATGGATTTACTATCCGAACGCTCTCCAAAGACATGATTCCCGTCTGAAGATGCTTCTGGATGTGTCAAGCATACAAAATATGTTGCCACATTTCCAAACCGTGATTACAGCGCTGAGGTATAACGATATAAAGGAGCGCAGAGGGCGTTCACACTGTCATCAGCATCAGCAGCAAATGCCCGGCCCCTACCATCCCTCAGCCGCATACAGCCGTGACGTTTCACGCACGCGCATAGAACGAACCGCAGTCCAAAATACCTCTGTGTAGGCTTTTAATTGCATTGTCTAACCATTGTTAATCTCATACACTATATATACAAAAGTATGTGGACACCCCTTCAAATTAATGGATTCGGCTATTTCTGCCACACCCGTTGCTGACAGGTGTATAAAATCGAGCACACAGCCATGCAATCTCCATAGCCAAACATTGGCAGTATAATGCCTTACTGAAGAGCTCAGTGACTTTCAACATGGCAGTCATAGGATGCCACCTTTCCAACAAGTCAGTTCATAAAATTGCTGCACCGCTAGAGCTGCTTTGGTCAACTGTAAGTGCTGTTATTGTGAAGTGGAAACATCTAGGAGCAACAATGGCTCAGCCGCAAGCTCACAGAACTGCCGTGTGCTGAAGCGCGTAGCGCATAAAAATAATCTGTCCTCGGTTGCAACACTCACTACAGAGTTCCAAACTGCCTCTGGAAGCAACGTCAGCACAATAACTGTTCTTTGGGAGCTTCATGAAATGGGTTTCCATGGGCGAGCAGCCGCACACAAGCCTAAGATCACCAAGCGCAATGCCAAGCGTCGGCTGGAGTGGTGTAAAGCTTGCTGCCATTGGACTCTGGAGAAGTGGAAATGCATTCTCTGGAGTATCACGCTTCACCATCTGGCAGTCCGACTGACAAATCTGGGTTTGGTGGATGCCAGGAGAATGCTACCTGCCCCAATGCAGAGTGCCAACTGTAAAGTTTGGTGGAGGAGGAATAATGGTCTGGGGCTGTTTTTCATGGTTCGGGCTAGGCCCCTTAGTTCCAGTGAAGGGAAATCTTACCGCTACAGCATACAATGACATTCTAGACAATTCTGTGGCAAGTTTAAAGCCCTTTTGCTGTTTCAGCATGACAATGCCCCCGTGCACAAGTGAGGTCCATACAGAAATTGTTTTTGAGATCGGTGTAGAAGAACTTGACTGGCCTGCACAGAGCCCTGACCTCAACCCCATCGAACACCTTTGGGATGAATTGGAACGCCAACTGCGAGCCAGGCCTAATCGCCCAACATCAGTGCCCGACCTCACTAATGCTCTGAATGGAAGCAATGATCCAACATCTAGTGGAAAGCCTTCCCAGAAGAGTGGAGGCTGTTATAGCAGCAAAGGGGTGACCAACTCCATATTAATGCCCATGATTTTGGAATGAGATGTTCCATGAGCAGGTGTCCACATACTTTTGGTCATGGTGTGTATTTTTTACATCCATGGCAATGCACATTCTCCAAAAGACTTCAACTAGCAAATTTACATTTGAGTCATTTAGCAGACGACTCTGTTAGTGTATAAATTTTTCATACAGGCCCCCCGTGGGAAACGAACCCACAACCCTGGCATTGCAAGCGCCGTGCTCTACCAACTGAGCTACAGGGGACTACCATGACTCAACGGTCACGTGGAATTTGACTTCCGTCATGACTCGTGACCGCCGGTGTGGCGGTAATACGGTCAGCGTAACAGCCCTAGGTACATGGGGTATGATGTCTTACCTCTAGTTTGGGTACTGGGGATATGATAGGTATAATGGGTTTGATGTCCACTGTTGCATCTGCTGGCGTAGCTGGTCAGTCCCAGTGACCTCATCCCTCTGCTACGACACGCTGCCTGCAGCCAAGTGATTGTGAGTGGTACCCGGCCTTTCTCATGTAGGCATTTGATGAAATGTTCTTGGTTTTCTTGGGCTTTGTTTAGCATGATAATGGTGAACGAATAATGTAAAGGGTATATTGAGAATAAGTTTAACATCTGAGCAACACTACACACATTGAATCCTAAGCAAAGGCGCCAATTTCTACTGCATTGTACGTTGGCGCCCCCCTCCGGCGGATTTTAGTTAATAAAAAATGTATAATCTCTCTGGCTATGCTATTGGTGCTACTGTTTCTTTCACCGTTTATATGGACATACAGTAGTGCAGGCTTATGTCAAAACGGAGTGTTTGCTTGAAGGAGTCATTTTGAATACTCAAGTTCAGTACATGTATGATGAGGTTAGAAAAGTGTTGTGATATTCAAAATGCAGGCAGAGTTTTTAAATGTCATTATGTCAAGGTTTATTAGGAAAAGTTCTGGACATTGTTTATGGAAATTGTAAGTGCTTTACAATGTAATTTCAACAACTAGCCTACATAATTCAACAACTACAGAAGGCGACTTTACTAATCACATTCATCAACATATTTTCTTAATCCAAAGTAGTTATTGAAAGTAGTTAGTAATTAGAATATAAAAAATGTTGTGGATTAATTCAAATTATCCAACACTTGAAACATGATTTGGCCCATCTATCCTGTTTTCAACATGTATTTTTAGGTCAATATTTTTCAGTCAATATTTTTGTGTTTACCTCCTATTGTCCACTTAACCACTATCAGCTATGCTAGCTTTCCAGTCTCAAAGATCTTACATGGCAAATCCATTGATTTAGCAGATTATTCCAAATCTGCCACTTCATCTTCACCATCTACTTGTCTCTCTTCAGTTCAGCTGACCAATAGCCTGAAAGCAAAATAAACACTATTTAATTTGAAGACAGTATCTGCATATCAAATAATAAGTCAATGCTTCTCTATCTAAAGTGTCCTTAGGCAAAAGGCCACAGACTAAAATGGAACACAAGCCAGACAAATTAAGCAATCAGTTGTCCAACTCAGGGCAAAACACCACCCCTATATCTATGCCACTACTCCAGAAAAATATTTAGATTAAAGATAAATGCACTCTACTTATCCACAACACACTTCACAACGTTCTCCTCTCCTAGACCTACAGCTCCACCTCCTTTCCTGTCCTACACACCTGGGACGGGGGGAGGGCGTGTCAGAGTTTAGCAGATTGAGAGGAAGCTATACCGAGCAGCATGGACACGTCATTGGCTGAGGTGAGCCAGCTCCCGCCGTCAGCCACCATGATGTGGCCCGTCACATAGGAGGAGGCGCGGCTGGCCAGGAACAGCACGCTGTGGGCCATCTCAGTCTTGTTGCCTGCCCGCTGCAGTGGAATGGATGAGAAGGCGCCCATGCTGTCTGCTCTGTTGCCACCTGAAGACAAGAGAGAGAGGGGGGGGGGTGCAAAGAGAAATGAGACTGAAGAGGACTTCATTTAGTTTACCTCTCCTAAGGCTCTGCTCTTGATAACTTTGACCTCACTAGCATAGAAATAACACTTCATTACCCAGATCTACTTAATCAAGTGAATACTAAAACCTACTTCATTAAAAGGTAGAAAAGAGTGGCAAGATTTATCACTAAAAAGTATGCGTGGCCATGTGTGAGTTTGGCACATGGCTTAATCAATCAAACGCGTTTATCAAATCCCAGCCAGGCAGCCACAGATCCTTACCCAGCCTACGGAAGCCCTCTGTCCCCGAAATAGGACCTGGTGCCAGGGTGTTAACCCTTACCCCACTTGGTCCCCACTCAACGGCCAGGTGCTTGGTCATGGCATCTGGGGGAGAGAGATGTGAACAGAAAAAGGGTAGTGGGATGAATAAAGAGGGGGGAAGTTGTTAGTGGGCTTGCTGTTATATCTGAGAAATAGTGCTGAATCACCTAAAGACTACAGCCATTTCTACCAAATACATACAACCAAATAAAAACATAACAATATAGTAACAATCATATAGTTATAACACTGTAACGTTTCTTACCATTGGCAGCCTTGGCAGAGCCAGCATGCACCTGGAGAGCCTGACCCCTGTAGCCGAGGGTGGCAGAGATGTTTACAATGGCACCCCCGTGGTCCTGAACACAAACATCAGACATGATCAAGTCTATCCATACATTTTAACTGAAGTATGACTATCTGAGGTAATAGCACAACAATGAAAACCAAACAGGAATATCCATGCAAGTCACGCAAAAGGTAGATAGTTAGATTGAAGGAAATTGATTGAAAAATCTCAGTGCATACTGAAAGTGTGCTGTACCTTGAACCACTTCTCATAGACCACCTTGCTGGTGTTAAATGTACCCATGGTGTCTATCTCCAAGACTGTCTTGAAGGCATTGAATGAGAGGGAGGTAGCAGGGCACAGGAAGTTTCCAGCAGCATCTATAAAATAAAATAGATTGCTACACAGTTCCTTACATATTTCAAACAACCAACGTTAACACGTTTCAATTAGAAATTGGGTATTAAAATGAAAATGTACAAATGGAGAGGAAGTTCAGATAAAGAGAGACAGATTGAAATATCGTGAAATGCAAATCAAGTTATTTAGTTGTATAAGGAAGGGCCGTTTTTTAAAATTATTATTTATCAAGGGTAACAAAAATGATAAAAGCCAGAACAGTTGATAAAGAGAGATAGATATAGCTTGAGAAAATGCAATAATTAAAACAAAATGACACTGCTTTCACCCCATCATGGCTTCACAATCAATTTCGCACACAATTTCACAGCAGATCCAATTTAATTTGTGTGTGTGGGTGGGTGCATGCACGTCTGTCTGTGCACACGTGTGTATTCTACATACTATTAATGAGGATATCAATCCTGCCCAGCTCTTTCAGCGTCTCGTCCACTGCAGCGGAGATAGTCTGGGGCTGTCGCACGTCAATGGTCAGAGGGAGACAGTGGCGTCCCGTCGCTGCCGTCAGCTTCTTAGCAGCCTGGAAGAAAACACAGACTATATACATCAGCATGATAAATCAACATTTATTAAAAGTTTATTCATTAAATCAACATAGTTTTTTGTTTGGTCTACTTGTTTACAAGATATAAGGGTAGTGACCTCTGTGAGCTTTTCAAAGTTTCTGCTGGCAATCACTGTGTCACAGCCGTGCCTGAAAGACACGAAAGGTGAGAGGTTAGGGGTGAGGGGCAAGATGTTCTGTGTGTGATGACATGCTGCATAAGGTTTGAGTTGTCTCTAATGGTAGGTTGCGGATGACACAGGTAAGCTATAGGTAGAACACAGTGGCATAACGTAAGCAGTCCCTGGTGTAGGCAAAGTACAATGCCATGGGAATGTGATAGATGAGGGGTGAGGGATGTATGGACATGTCAAGTGAAAGGTGCAAGGTTAAGGCTGAGATCATGTGATGTACCAAGAAGCCAAAGGTGACAGGCATCATTCAACGTCTTAGGTGAAGAGTGACATGCTCTATAGGTAAGAGGTGAGAGAAGATAGGCAGACACAGGCCGTGATAACACAATCAGAGGGTTAAAGTACAGTCTCAGGGAGCATGGAGGAGTACGTCAGAGACACCAGGTACAGCACCTCATGAGCACTTCAGCTATGCGTAGTCCAATTCCAGATCCCCCTCCAGTTATGAACGCCACTTGGTCTCTGTGAAAATATATTGTTACAAAATTATGTACAGTACCGGTATTATACAGAGGGCCCTATGTCTGTCATCTTTTCCTATTACATCACTAATGGTAGTAACATTTACTTATAAAATCTACTGGCCATTGCTTTTGTTACATTATACATTATAGTCATTTAGCAGACGCTCTTATCCAGAGTGACTTACAGTTAGTGAGTGCATACATGTTTTATTTTTTAATACTGGTCCCCTGTGGGAATCGAACCCACAACCCTGGCGTTGCAAGTGCCATGCTCTACCAACTGAGCTACACGGGACTACTTTTGTTCCAAGTGACAATGCACAGCTCAAGTACAGTTGGTACGTTAAGGTTGCATTTCCACTTACTTGAGTAAATCTGGACTGTAAATGTGAGTGTATGAAGTCATGCAGTCATCTGTGTCTACATCCTCAGGCACATCTCCCACCCTCTGTGGCTCTGCCATACTGATGTTCCAAAGGAGCCTGGCTGGAACAAAAATATGAATTCATTACACTTTTAAGGCACACTTTGTGCAATGTCCTATGTAGCAATCACTGGGACATTTGGTGCATTGCAGACTGCAGTGGAAATGCATGGAAGAATGTTAAGTTGACGAAGTAAAGTGAAAGATATTTGTATAACCCAAAGATAACCCACAGCCAGTCGTTTCCAATGGGAGCAAATGAATCATAGTGGGCAGAACAAGCAAGGAGATGGGCAGAGCCAAGCACGAGCTAACGAGATCCTATTGGCGCGTTCTAGTATGTATTTGCATATTTCCGTTAGGGAACGTTTGTCTGTTAAGTGCTCGTGTGCAATAGCTCAATTCGCCCTTGCACTACTAAAATACCTTCTTCTTTTTTTACTTTCGCAAAAAGTAAAGTCTACTAAACTTAGTCCACTATGTTCGCAACATATTTTAGTTTTGAGAACAGAAATCTGTATTGAAATCAAACGTTTAATCGATGAGAAAATGAGCAGAATGTCGGCCAAAATCCATCTCGCTCCCATCTTCTCCCACTGCCGGCCACTGGGCTTCCTCTCATCACCACATTTGGTGTTGAGTGGAAACGCCAACCGGATGCTTCAGATTTGTACATCCGGTAAAACATCTGTCTCATTGTTCTATCTGTGGTAAAGTTGTACTCACCGACTGTGTTGTTGTGTTTTTCCTGTTGTAGCGTTTGCTCTGTAATGACAGCGACGCACAAACGTCTCTCGACGACCAAATGCACTCTGTTGCAGATTTACTTCACAAATTGCGACTGAAGACGTTTACAAATTCACAAAATTGTCAAACAGCAAATGTGCTCTCTGGTCATCAAGGTACTGTACCTTGAACCTATTTCTTGTGAAACGACAAGTGCATTTTGGGATATGTAGTTCGAGAGTGGTCTGTTCAAGAGCGCAAACGTCATACTCATGCTGTCATTCCGTACAGTAGTTTCCCATCCCATGCAGAGAATATAAAATGTGTTCCTTGCTTATTCATAAAAATGCAGAGATAGAATATCTAGTGTTGTTTTTTCTGTTGAGATGCTTAAACTATACTGAAAAAATATATAAATGCAACATGCAATAGTTACAGTTCATATGAGCAAATCAGCCAATTTAAATAAATTCATTAGGCCCTAATTTATGGATTTCACATGATTGGGCAGGGGCACAGCCATGGGTGGGCCTGGGAGGGCATAGGCCCACCCACTGGGGAGCCAGGCCCAGCCAATCAAAATTAGTTTTCCCCCACAAAAGGGCTTTATTACAGACAGAAATACTCCTCAGTTTAATTCAGGTGACTGGTCTCAGACGATCCCACAGGTGAAGAAGCCGGATGTGGAGGTCCTGGGCTGGCGTGGTTACACTTGGTCTGCGGTTGTGAGGCCGGTTGGACGTACTGCCAAATTCTCTAAAATGACTTTGGAAGCGGTTTATGGTAGAGAAATGAACATTAAATTCTCTGGCAACAGCTCTGGGGGACATTCCTGCAGTCAGCATGGCAATTGCACGCTCCCTGAAAACTTGAGACATCTGTGGCATTGTGTTTTGTGACAAAACTGCACATTTTAGAGTGGCCTTTTATTGTCCCCAGCACAAGGTGCATCTGTGTAATGATCATGCTGTTTAATCAGCTTCTTGATATGCCACACCTGTCAGGTGGATGGATTATCTTTGCAAAGACATGCTCACTAACCGGAATGTAAACAAATTTGGCAACAAAATGTTAGAGAAATAAGCTTTTTGTGCGAAGGGAACATTTCTGGGATATTTTAATTCAGCTCATGAAACATAGGACCAACACTTTATATGTTGTGTATTTATTTTTGTTCAGTATACAAATACCTCAAGGCTCACACAGACATGATAGACATGTTTCTAAATTCTACCTCAAGGCCAGAATGAATAAATCACTGCAGAACCTTCAGATAAGATACAGAAACAAAAAGGTCATTGTTCTCATTGTCAGAAGTGTTTCAGTAACACCATATTCTAGGTGTCCATTAAAGAAGCTTTCATTTGATGGATACCCACAAATATAAAGCATTTTTTATTTTATAATCTAAATGTATCTGTGCATGTTTAGGGAGCGCAATAACAGTGTCTCTTTTATGGCTCTTCATAACCAGATGTAAAAGTATTTCTGGTATTCCCTCCCACTTTACAAAACATTACCTCCTTTTCCAAATCAGAGGGATGTGGAAAACCATTGATCCCTTAGTTCATCTCCTATTACCCTCAGCTTTTTAGGATGGCACCAGGGAATGTTATTGCTGGTAAACTGACACCAGATTTAGCTGGTGAATGATATTAGTTTCCGGGGATCGATGCTCATCAGAGTACATTCAGATGGTGGTTGGCTTTCTCTCAATCTGAATTTAGGTATTTTATTGACGGGAAGAGCACTGTGAAATGGATCCCTCAGATAGTTCAGGACTAATAAATCCAAAGCACTTAGGCTGTGTGTATGCCAACAGTCTCCATTAATGCATGCCAGCCTGGACAGTTTGATCAAAAGTTTTCTGACTCCAGATAGTGAGGTGATGTGTTGTTATAATGCAACAATGTAGTAGTGATCGATGCTAGAGGAAAACATCAAGACATGTAAGTAACATATTTTTGGTGAGACACAGTCAAAGCTTGCAGAAGCTCTGTGGGGGGTTAAGAAATGTTTTCTTTGGTCTCCATTTTCTTCATGTCAAAATGTGTTTCCCTCTGAGTTTGATAGCTCACCACCAAGTTGTGTTAATTGGCAGGTTACAGTTTTAAAACACTAGCAGAGCCTGTAGAATGCTAACCCTCTTCCTCACAAACCATTAATAATACATAAACGAGCCAAACAAACATGACAGGGTTAAAGCATAAATACGGCTCTAGGTATCTCATTATTGCATATCCTCTTTCCTGACTCCAACTGTCACTCTAGTATTGTTTAATTAGCTCAGTCAATAATAGTATAATCAATGACAAGCAACGCTAATATGACGGGTAACCCTTACCCTTGAGCCTCATCATGGCCAGATGAGGCAACATTATACTGTACTCATTACAACACATGCAATGAGCGTGAGCCTGTGTGTTCAAGTTCAGTTCATAACATAGAACAATTGTTTTAATAACAGTGATTCCCATTTCATTCTGTCTCAGTATCTGGCCATGAAAGGTGGATTATTTCCATAATTATTCAATATCTTCAATTAACATTAAAATATAACTTAACATTGACTTTGGTTGGAATGAAAACCTACTCCCTCTGGAACCAACACTCACTGTAAGCCAACACTCACTGTGCTGTTGGACAAGTCACTTCTGTATCATTGCCTCTATAACATCTCCTGATGTATGGACATTGGACAACCAGGTGAAATCAAGCATTAGTCTGTAGCATATCTGTAACATGTCTTGCGAGCCATAATCGAAATCTCAAGCTAGCTCGGATTTCATATTGTACATTCTCTTGTCGAGAGAAAATGGCGCCTATGCAAAGTCAACCGTTCACAGAGACTTCTTTCCATATCGGGGCTCATACTCCAGGGTTCATTCCTGTTTGCTCAAACACTGACAGTGGGTGCTTGACTATGATTTTAGTGTCTGGGTCTGTGCTGCGCTTCTCTTGGGCCCCATTTGAGGCTGGCACTGCTGCTGATGGTGCCTGCTCCTGCTCCAGCCCCATCAGCCTGGCGCTGGCCTCCCACAACCTCCGGGACACCTCCTGGTCGAGGGCCTTAGGTGCTGGCTCCTTCTCCATCATCACGTCGTAGTAGCGTCCCGTAACCCCCTCCAGCTCCTCGGCCACGGCCAGATAGACACTAGGCTGGGCCCCCAGCTCTGGCCCCTTCACTAGGAGGGTGAAGAACGGACCTGCAGGGAGAGGCAGAGACAGTAGGGGTCATTTGGAGCATTTTGTGAATAACTTTTCATGAGTGATTGGGGGCTTTAACTATGACCTACTGAGCCTATTAATCTAAAATTAGATGATGGTTTAGCAAACATTTTCAAGTGAGTGGATCTCTAAGTGTAATACACAATGAGAAGGCGGCGGACTCACTGAGCACTGAGCTGGAGAACTGCGATTGGTGGAGGCCAGTGTGTCTCCCCAGCTCTGTGGCAACGACCCCCGGGTGTAGGCAATTCACAGTGACCCCAGTACCTGTCACAACCACACACAACAGCGATTAACAACACAGTAATCAATATTGTAATCAATGGAAAATACAAACCCAACACAAAAATAACAAACCATCCCAAACAGAGTACAAACCTATCCACCCACGCAGAGAACACACACACATATACAGATCTACTGGACTTACCATCTAGCCTTTGGGCCAGTTCTCTTGTGAATAGAACGTTGGCGAGTTTGCTTTGACAGTAGGCCCGTTTGGTGTCAAACTTCTTATTGTCCCAGTTGAGGTCGTTGAAGTCGATCTCCCCGACGATGTGGGCGAGAGAGGCCAGGTTGACCACTCTGCTGGGGGCAGAGTCCTTCAGCTTTTCCAGAAGCAGATTGGTCAGCAAGAAGTGACCTGAAGAAACAGAGGAACACAGTAACATAAACATATGACAATGTCCATATGCTTCTATATTATAGCTATGTATTTATTATCATAATACAATGTAAAGCAACAGTATGAAATAAAACATTGCACAAAGTGCACTCTAGTTGGAGTATTCGGGAACTCAGAAGCTTACCTAAATGGTTCACTCCAAACTGTATGTCAAACCCATCCTCTGTCTTCCCTGCTGGACATCTCATCACTCCTGCATTGTTTATCAGCACATCCACATGCTTTTCCTCTGCAACGACATGAAGAAAAACACACACACACACACACACACACACAGACACACAACAAACATACACCATTGTCTGAGAATAGGGTGTAGCTCAACTCATAAAGGTGCAAAAGCTGCTTAAGTGACCATTACTTCCAATGTGTCTCATTTGAGTTGATGTCCCTCCAGTATGTACTTTAACTCACCTTGGTTGACTCTCTCTGCAAACTGGCGGATGGATTTGATAGAGGCCAGGTCTATGTGGTGTGCGTAAACATGAGGATTCAGTGTCTGCCCCCGGATCTCCTTGGCAGCCGCCTCACATTTCTCCATATCCCTGCACCCCATAATAATTCGACCGCCTGATTGGATGGAAGAGGATAGGAAATGGGAAAGAGTAGCTAGGTAACTAATATAATTAATCCTAAGGGAGTCGTTCTGGCTGGTTTCTCAAGCAATTATGCTTGCTTGAATTCCTTGTAACAACTAGCCAATCACACAGTAGTAAAGACAAACAATAAATAATAATAGTAGAACTATAATAATAGTCAGTGACCAGAAAGGAATAAGTGCATTGTCTAAAAATGTGCTCTGTAGCCTACTAATAAGCCCTTGAGTAAAATTGGTGGTTAGTTGCCGCTATTATGTAGCCAAATGTTCTGTACCTCTCTTAGCCAGTTCTTTGGCTGTCTCTTTACCAATCCCAGTGTTGGCTCCTGTTATGACCACTGTCTTCCCTGGTATTTTAGCCTTACTGGGACAAGGGCCTCCAGTAACATGGTTCCTATGGGGAGAGTGACTCATAATCATAATTCAGAGTGACACACAAGCTGTAAGATATGGTTTAGAAAGGTTTTGGCTAAACATTACAACATGTTAAATAACACTGTGCATTACATATCTTTAACTGTGACACTGACAGTTTCATAACATCAAACTCCTGATTGGATTGGGAAGCTTTGTCAACCAGGTGCATAATACTACAGACGCACCAGCTGATGGCAGAAGGTATAGCTGTGTCAGGATTCTTCTAGCTTTTTGAGAAGAAAGGAATTTCTTAGGCTACTTACTTTAATAAAACAGCGCACCCAAACACTGTTCCAAAGACCGAGACGGGCAGAATATATTTGCTCATCGTTTACGAAGGTTTACACACAAAAGTAACATAAGACAGGTTATAACACCACTCACAAACAGGAGACTTTCATAATTTCCTCATGCACAAGGTTATAGGCGCATGTTAATACACGTCAACCAATTCCCAGGCGTCTGACCAATCACAGCGAAGACATTCGCCAATGGCATTATGGGACTTATAGTGTAAGTGTTACCAAATATTTTTGTATAACTGTGGTGTTACTCTCTTGTAAGACAAAATGTTAATTAAAGGTGCTATAGAGAGAAATAGTAATGGCGTGTTTTTGTAGGCACTAACTCCACAATAGTTAGTTGGACAAAGCCTATGGGGAAATGAATGGCGTTTTTGTAGTTTTTTTTGGATAAACACTGAAAATAATAGATCTTATACATTTTGTTCTATGACATAATCTTCATCAGCTAACGCCACTTTTTGTGAATTTTGAAGCATTGATGTAAAAAAACAACAACACATAAAGCACATAAAGGCTTCAGAATTCATAAAGGTTATGTTAACTGACTGTTAGTATCTCATTGAACAAAACGTATAACATCTCATAAGCCTGTGTTAACCTCAGACATTATTTTCGGCATGTATCCCAAAACCTTATTCTTTCCCCATTAACTTTCGTCATAGGGATGGCTGAACGAACCAGAGGTAACTCATTTTGGGGTTTTAGGACTACAAACTGGCGAGCTATCTGAGAGGAAGAGGAAGAGCGAGGCCCAACTCAGCAGAAAATCTTTCGCCCTCCAACAGGTGGCGATATTTCGTTGTTTCGCCCACCAAGCAAGGAGTTTTTGTATGGAGGTCAATGAAGAGGTGTCGAATTTGGTTAACAAAAAAATGTATGGCTTATTTGCTATGTGAGGTTTATTTGATCTAATAGAAGTGTCATAATGCTTAAGTTGTTACGAGTGTGCTGATATAAGTAGGACAGTCGACATCCCGGCAACTTTGAGAAAAAATACTTTATATCAGAGTTGTCTCGAGATGGCTATGCATATTCATGGGATGAGGCTAGTAGCATAGCATCTCTTTCCATTGAATACAGGCAGTTGACGTCAACAACCCTCATCGAATATTTAAAAAAGGATTACAATAATGAGATGTATCCACCAATCCAAAGAAAGGATAGGCGGGAACTAGACAGCCCATTGTGCTGCTTTGTGGACAATGACTCCCATTATTAGGGCCAAAAACGGATATTTACTTGGTAATAAATCAAAGTCTTTGGAGTAGTTGTCCCAACTGACGAATACCCCTGCAAAAGCCTTAAGTGTAGTGTGACATTTTGATATTACCACTCTTGTGATGGGTTATAAGCCAGTGTCTGTCCATGTTTCCCAACTGTTATTTTTTTGTATAGTTTGTCACCGTTTTTGGGGGCTTTTTAAGAACAACCATCAATTAAGTATTTGTGAAAGTGTAGCACTAGTTCTACAGCTGCACCATTGAGAGTATCTTGACTGGCTGCATCACCGCCTGGTACGGCAACTGCAAGGCACCCGACCGCAAGGTGCTACAGAGGGTGGTGAGTACGGCCCAGTACATCACTGGGGCCGAGCTCCCGCCATCCAAGCCATAGAATGTACTCTCTGCTATCGCACGGCAAGCCGTAACAGTGCACCAAGTCTGGAACCAACAGGACCCTGAACAGCTTCTATCCCCAATCCATAAGAGTGCTAAACAAGACTGCTAAATAAATAATCAAATGGCTACCCGGACTACCTGCATTGACCCTTTTTTGCACTAACTCTCTTGCATTGACTCTATGCACACACACTGGACTCTACCCACACACTCACACATACTTACACTGACACACCTACACATACATACACAACAGTGGTGGCTGCTGAGGGGAGGACGGCTCATAATAATGGCTGCAACAGAGCAAATGGAATGTATTTAATACCATTCCACTTAATACTATTCCACTCCAGCCATTACCACGAGCCCGTCCTCCCCAATTAAGGTGCCACCAACCTCCTGTGATACACACACACACTACAAACGGCCACACACACATAACGCGCGCACATGCATACTGACGCCACACACACACACACTTTTCACACTCACCACATACGCTGTTGCTACTGTATATTATCTATCCTGTTCCCTAGTCACTTACCCCTGCCTGTCAGTATGTAAAGCTACTCATTACCTTTCACTACCCTACTATATGTACATAGCTAACTCAATTACCTCGTACCCCTGCATATCGACTCGGTACTGGTACTTCCTGTATAAAGCCATGCTATTTTTACTCGTTATTGTTTTTCGTTATTCACTGTGTATTTATTCCTCATGTCACTATTTATATTTTTAATCTTTAACTCTGCATTGTTTAAAAAGAGATCCGTAAGGAAGAATTTCACTGTTATTCTACACCTGTTGTTCACGAAGCATGTGCCAAATAACATTTTATTTGATTTAGAGCATTCAGTGAAAGTACTTTGTCAAATGTGTTTTACTGTAGCCTGTTTCAAACAAGCAAACCATAAAAAAAAACGGTTTTACTTTGCTTGTTCCCTTATAAATGGGCCTAGAATCAATCAATCAATGAGCTTGACGCCTTGATAAGTTCCTTTCCTGAGGATGGCTCACCCCTCACAGTTCTGGGTGACTTTAACCTCCCTATGTCTGCCTTTGACTCATTTCTCTCTGCCTCCTTCTTTCCACTCCTTTCCTCTTTTGACCTCACCCTCTCACCGTCCCCCCCTACTCACAAGGCAGGCAATACGCTTGACCTCATCTTTACTAGATGCTGTTCTTCTACTAATCTCACTGCAACTCCCCTCCAAGTCTCCGACCACTACTTTGAATCCTTTTCTCTCTCACTCTCCTCCAACACTACTCACTCTGCCCCTACTCAGATGGTAATGTGCCGTCGCAACCTTCGCTCTCTCTCTCCCGCTACTCTCTCCTCTTCCATCCTATCATCTCTTCCCTCTGCTAAATCCTTCTCCTTCCAATCTCCTGACTCTGCCTCCTCAAGCCTCCTCTCCTCCCTTTCTGCATCTTTTGACTCTCTATGTCTGCAGCCCGTCTGGTGTTCAACCTTCCCAAGTTCTCTCATGTCACCCCGCTCCTCCGCACACTACACTGGCTTCCAGTTGAGGCTCGCATCTACTACAAGACCATGGTGCTTGCCTACGGAGTTGTGAGGGGAACGGCACCTCCTTACCTTCAGGCTCTGATCAGACCCTACACCCAAACGAGGGTACTACGTTCATCCACCTCTGGCCTGCTAGCCCCCCTACCTCTACGGAAGCACAGTTCCCGCTCAGCCCAGTCAAAGCTATTCGCTGTTCTGGCACCCCAATGGTGGAACAAGCTCCCCCACGACGCCAGGACAGCAGAGTCACTGACCACCTTCCAGAGAAACTTGAAACCCTACCCCTTTAAGGAATACCTGGAATAGTATAAAAGTAATCCTTCTAATGTTTGGCTTTTATTATTTATTATATCTTATTTATTATTATTTTATTATTTTCTCTCTCTCTCTCTCTCTCTCTCTCTCTCTCTCTCTCTCTCTCTCTCTCTCTCTCTCTCTCTCTCTCTCGCTCTCTCTCTCAATCGCTCGCAGGGTGACCCTCTGTCTGCATTGTGCATTAGGACGTCTTATTGATGTTCTCTAAAGAGATGCTGATGATCCCAGACACAAGTCCTTTGAAGCTGGCCCAACATCAGTGGAGTAAACAAGTCTCCAATGCTGTCAGAACAGCTCAGTGTCTAAGCCACATTTATAACCAGGGGCGCAACTTTCACTGGGGACGGAGGGATATGTCCTCCCCGCATTCTGAAATTGCATTTATCCCCCCCAGTTTTATCATTGGATACAAAACGAGGCAACGGTGTGCTTTAGGACCATGCGGACGCCTCCGAGCAGTCGGATAGGCTGTTTGGAGTGTTTATCTGCCTGGATAAAAAATAAATAAAAAATAATGTCCCCCCCACTTCTAAAACCAAAGTTGCGTCCCTGTTTATAACACACAGTCTAAGCTCTCCATATCTAGACCACCCTCCCCTTGAACACTCTCCTCTTGTTATATAACACTGGGACATTACAAACAACGTAGGGGGCACGGATGGATATCCACAGACCTTCTTGCACTGGCAATAGGAAATAGAGAGAGACAATAAAGGTTAGGGAGATGACATTTCATGATGACATTCTTTGCCAAGCTTTGATTGAATTTCAGATGAATTAGAGAACAAATTTAAGCATGACAGGCTGCTGATGTGCACAATGTCACAATTATATCCTTTTATAAAGCAAAACAGTGCAGTGAAACAGTCCATGCTTTTACAGTTCACTTTGCTGAACAAGAAAACAAGTTTGAGAACAGAGAGAAAGGAGGCCACCCCTGTAAATGAGAGGAAGAGGTGACACACAAAAGTGAAAACTAGGACAAGAGCAATGAATGTCTGGTGTCTGAAAAAAGAGGAGAGAACGAGAGAGAGAGAGAGAGAGAGAGAGAGATGGAGGAAGGAAGGAAGGATACAGAGCAACTTCTCTGGAGAGAGCGAAAGAGCGAGAGAGAGAGGGAGGAGAGAGAGAGGGGAGAGCAGACAAATGGTGGCATTGCTCTATTTGTTCATGGCTCAAGCCCCCCTGGACTTATTTGACCCACACCGCTCCCTGTTGTCAGCCCACAGTACTTGACCTTCAACATGATTTATGACAGCCTAGTTCTCACTCTCCGCCTCACTGCTTCTTGCCCAATTCCCAGAGAGTGTGAGAAGTCTTGAACCTCTCAAAAGGTGAGGTCATCTAACTGATGATACTGTATCAACTAACTGTCTTTTCAATACATGTTACTTTAACAGGAAAATACTGCAATAGAATACCCTGAGGTCACTGATATTGTTTCAAGACATAGGCAGAGGCAGACATATTCTTAGCACTGACATACACTCACCTGACAGTTTATTAGGTACACCAATCTAGTACAGTGTCGGATACCCCTTTGCCTCCAGAACAGCCTGAATTCTTTGGGGCATTCTACAAGGTGTCAGAAACGTTCCACAGGGATGTTGGTCCATGCTGACGCGATGGCATCACACAGTTGCTGCAGATTGGACG